GAAGAGAGAGCTGAGTAAAAAAGCGAAGCTCTCGATTTACCGGTCGATCTACATTCCCACCCTCATCTATGGTCATGAGCTTTGGGTCATGACCGAAAGAACGATTTATGGTCAATGGCAATAAATCTAGAGTCATTTATAAGCACACATGACAAAGTCTGATAACTCAAAAAAAAAATCAAGAACAAGGGTAAACTGTGACAACAAAGGGCATAATCTGGACAATCTGTAATACAGTTTTGCCAACTGTTTAAACAGAAAACCTAAAAAGAAACAAACAAGTCTAAAATGGCAGCATGTATTACTGAGAGTTGTAGTACAGAGAAAAATCAAACTTTAAAAAAGCTAAATTCATCAGTATTTGAATTTAGTTGGGTATACTAAAGTAAGATGGATCAGGACATCCCTAAAGCAAAATGACAAAGAGAGAGAAATTCAAGTTAAGTAAACGTAAGGGGGGGAAAAAAAAAGTCACCCATATGTTTGTAGAGAGGGGAAACAGAAAAACAACTGATTTTCTCAGTAAAGCCGACAGACAAATGACAACCAAAAATAAAACGGTGCTCTTAACTGGATGAATATAACCATGCAGCACAGTAAAGGGATAGGCGTGCAGGTCTGGCCCCACCTGGCCCGAGATGCGCTCCTCTGGCAGCACTTCTGGCTTTATCTTAAGCAGCTTCACTGCTATGGGCTTGCCAGTGCGCCTGTCAGAGGACACCTCAAACTCTACATCATCTGAGGAGAAGAAAAAGCAGACAAAACTTTAGAGAGATTCAAAGTAGCAACAGAGGCTTTGACTTTGTTCTTCCCAGGCATCTCACCTCCTATTTTAAGCTCCTGCAGGTTCCCGTTATACTGGGAGCAATGGAAGAAAAGACGAGCCTGGCGCTCTGAGCACTGGATGAATCCATAGGAAGTCAACAGCTTCTCCACCACACCGGTTTCCCTGATGCCAGGCCCCGAGCCGTTGGCATATGCAGTGTGTCCGTTGTTATGAAGCATGCCTGGGTCAAAACTCATCTGAAACGAGAACAAACTGATAAATGTATTTGGAAGGCATCAGTGCAAAGCATTTTCAAACACAGGAGTGGAAAAGGCAAATTAATGCAGTTTTTGATGCAAAACTTTAAAAGAAAAAACGTGCAATAACAAAATTTAGAGAATATGGTGAGAAAAACATTAAAATAAAAATACATTAGAACCTTCTGGGGGAAAAATAATTTCAGTATAGCTGACAACACCCAATAATATCCAACACCTTGTGAATATTCTCAATTTTATCATGCAAAAAAAAAAAAAAAAAATTCACTCAAATGACTACCATCTAAAACATCCAAGCACAGACTGAGTAGTTGCATGCAGCTGCTGGGTCGAACGATTCATCTAACCACCAACATCAGTGAATATGCTAGAACTTGATGTAAAAAAGCTGCAAAAACTTCCAACACCCTGGTTAATTTTTTAAATTCTGCCAACATCTACACGCCATGCTGTTAGCAAAGGCGATGTAACAGCAGAGCAGCTCAGCCAACATGGCCACTGCTCAACATTTCCCCTTACTGATCTCTGATACAAAGGAGTCCGCTTGTACTTTTTACTTCCAGGGTGAGGGTGGCAAGAGACAGAGGAGGAGCGGGGTATGGGCATTGGAGTGGTGGAGGTATCGGGGGCCGAGCCACCGCTGCGGACAACAGGGGGTTCAGAGGAGCCCCTTTCCATTTCTGACACAGGGGACAGAGCAGCAACACACTGTTGGGAAAGGAAGAACTTTATGCATGTTGCTTACTCACAATTTACCTGCAATGACTGGCCATCACGTGTTATGAATGTTTAAAAAAAGAAAAAATGTCTTAAAGGGATAGTTCAACTTTTTTCAAATGAGGTTCTATGACATCATCCCCACTGGGAAAGAGTCAAATCCTCGGACGTGGTAGGCTGCAATGACACATTTTAGCCATTTTAAACAAATTGGAATGTTCACACTTGTAGGACATATTACAATATGAACAGATATTAACAGTCAATAAATGAGTCTCAGGTTTTCTTGGCATTTTCCCCAAGTCAAACACAAAACGTTCATGTTGCTATGCTAACATAGCAACATAAACGTTGATCGAACGCTTGTTTTGGTATATTTTCCAGGTTTGCACCAGAATTTACCCCCATTAGACCCACAATAAGCCAATCAGGTGGATCGACAGTTGGTCAATGCAACTTCAACATAACTCAAACTTTTAACTGATAAATAGACAAATGTGGAAGTTTTGACATTTTTAAATAGTTAATATTTAGTGTCTCCAAATCCGAGGCCATGGTCTTGAGCCGGAAAAGGGCAGAGTGCCTTCTCCAGGTCAGGGGGCCATCCTGTCAAGTGGAGGAGTTTAAGTATCTGAGGATCTTGTTCACGAATGACGGAAAAAGAGAGCGAGAGATCAATAGGTGGATTTGGGTAGCGTCTGCCGTGAAGCGGACGCTGTACCGGTCCGTCGTGGTGAAGAGAGAGCCGAGTCAAAAAGCGAAGCTCTCGATTCACCGATCGATCTACGTTCCCACCCTCATCTATGGTCATGAGCTTTGGGTCATGACCGAAAGAACGAGGTCCCGGATACAAGCGGCCGAAATGGGTTTCCTCCGCAGGGTGGCTGGGCTCTCCCTTAGAGATAGGGTGAGAAGCTCGTTCATCCTGGAGGGACTCAGAGTAGAGCCGCTGCTCCTCCACGTCGAGAGGAGCCAGTTGAGGTGGCTCGGGCATCTGGTCAGGATGCCTCCTGGACGCCTCCCTGGTGAGGTGTTCCGGGCACGTCCCACCAGGAGGAGACCATGGGAAAGACCCAGGACACACTGGAGGGACTATGTTTCTCAGTTGGCCTAGGAACGCCTTGGAGTTCCCTGGAGGAGCTGGAAGAAGTGGCTGAGGAGAGGGAAGTCTGGGCCTCCCTTCTGAAGCTGCTGCCTTCGCGACCCGATCCCGGATAAGCGGAAGAAAATGGATGGATAAATAGTTAATATCGATCATTTCCATTTGGTTTCCAGGATTGACTTTGGTTATTTTATTTCATTAATAGTATAAATAGTTCAGGTAATAAGAAGAAAGTAGTATAAGCTTACATCTACCCCTCTGGATACTAGCCTTTCACTATTCTATTTACTTTTCTAGAAACTAATTTTATATAGTTTTTATATATATATATATATATATATCATCCATCTACAATACAAAACTTCAATTAAGAAAATTCAAACTATCCCTTTAATATCAAAAGTTTATTCCACAGCTTCACTTCTCACCAATTTCCTGATTTTATATTTTAAGACGCTCATTGACAAAGATTTCAGACGGTTCTTTCAGAGTTGTTTGTAAAATTAAAAGCACGTGTTTAGAAACACCATAGCCTAAAAATCAGAGAAAAGAACGGATCTGCAACCATGACAACCTTCGATTAAAGAAATGTTTAGCACCAATAGCCATGACAATAACAATGTTTTTTAACAGTTCACAGAGAAAGCAAAGGAACATCTTGACAACCAGTTATGATAAAATGGTTCAAGTGCATTGTTGCCAATTAATATAAAAAACAAAAACTACTAAAGATAAGGAGTCAAAACACAGACAGTTCAAACAGTGGTGCATCTACAGTGAACACAGCTGATGATGGATTATAGGTAATGAAGGGGAATCCCAGAAAAGCCTCTTTTAGATCATGTTCTGGTTTATCGCGATAAGCATCAGTTTACTCTCAAAGGAGATTTAAATATTTTGTTATGTTTTCATTTGAAAATTAGAGCACACAGGGTTTTAGTGATGGGTGGGCACTTCACGCAACATTTCTCCAATTTTCTTGTTTTTTATTTAAAAAAAAAAAAAAAAAAAAAGGCAGGGGCATGCAATCCAAACATGATTTGCTCCAAATGTCTTAAGGAGACTGTGCTGCAAAGTAAAAACACAAGTGGAAAATTAAAAAGAAAAATAAAGACTCTCCAGGAATTGTGAGGAAAAATTAAAAAATCCTTCAGTTTATTCACAGACACACCCCTCACCCTGCAACAACGCAACTGAGCAGAGGCTAGTCTCGGGAGCCCGGAAAGAATGAAAGATTAGGCCATTCACAGCAAAGATGCAGGGCAAGGTGGGTGGATGGGCGTTTGATGGGTGGGGACTCGGTAGAAGGAGGCGGGAAGGTGAAACTTACGGATCGGCCATATGGCGACAGGCTGAGTCCCACAGGGGAGGTGCTGCTCAGGTCAGCACTAACAAATGCGGTGGGTGGTGACGCAGGCAAGGTAAACTCAACAAAGCCTTTCCAGGGGCTGCCCATATTTTCCCATAAACTTCAACCAAAGTTGCTTGAGCACTTGCCGAACTTGTTTGAATTTCTGCTTGATTTTTTTTTTTTTTTTTTTTTTTTTTTTTTTTTAAAGGGCAAAAGAGTAAATATCCCGGCTGGAGAATGCGCTGAGCGCTTTTGGGGGGGCAGACTGG